ATATATATATATATATATATACTCACTCTTACATGGGCCGAAACTCAAGGCCACATACAATAAGGCCGGACATAGTTCCTTCATAACTAATCAATCTCAAATTCACATGAAAATGATCATCTTTGAATTCATGATTTAAGTTTAATTTCCACGCCTTAACCTCCATCCATCCATCTGCTCTTTGTTTTGGAGCTTGATTAGTATCATGTAAATTCCATGGTCTTGGGGTTCTAAAGTAAAGAATTTCAGCCTCTTCATCAGACCAGTGGAGTAGATCTCGTACTTTTACCGGACAATGCAACCCGTGACATTTTTTCGAGATCTTGAACACAAGGTAACACACATATTCTATATCTCGTGACAACATTTGATTTTCAATCTTGCAATTGATGCGAAAGACTTGTTGTGGTAAAAGCTCAATCACCTCTGAAAATCTGCATATACACATATCGTGTGATTGCATACTTCTTACTGAGTAAAAAATTGCATAATTGATGCATAATTGATTTTATAATCCAATAAACAAGTATAGAATTTTTAATTATGTATAGCTTCTTTTATGATAATGAATGAAGAATGTAAGGACAAGTCATTGTCTCTCCACGTTGCAAAATATGCATGTGAGGTTTTGTTGCGGTTTTTGTACTTTAAGTTCACATACAAAGGTTTACTTGAAATTTTTCTCGGATCACAAAATTTGAAGACTAAATAAACCCCATAAATGACATTTGGTGATAAAAATTGCATTCTTGTGTTGATTTTGATCTTCAGATTCAATATGTCTAACATCTCAGCTACTACCTGAAACCTGTACATGTTGTAAGATATTAGTTACAGCTTCTATATTTCCCAGCATACACACTTCAACTTTTGAATATAATATTTCTTTCCACCCAAGATAAATGGAATAATTCCAGTTATTTGGATAAGCGGTTGATCAGATTCTTTGCTTTTTTGTGTTTGGAACACCTTGTCTACATTAAATAGAAAAAGCCCAGCGGGGTATCTAGGGAAACACACAAAGTTTACACCAAAACACCAAATCTAAAAACAATACAACACCAACCCTTACAAAACAGGACCTAACAACACCAAATCTAGAACTATAGTATTGTACAACTCGAATAAGTGGCGTTTTTTTGTAGCCATTAAATTAAACAGGACCTAACAACACCAACCCTTACAAAACAGGACCTAACAACTGATCCATAATTTTTGCTAGAAATGCTTTTTGGGAAGAGTGTTTGTTTTTTGGAAGAAAAAATACTTCAAAAAGACTTTTTGACCTCTTCTCCAAAGAGACCTAAAATCTACACTTTTTGACCAGAAGACATTTCTAACGTAGCTTTTCTTTCACACGCCTCCATCTGTTTTCCCTTTCATCATTCCACCGACAAGTTTTCCTAGCTGCCGCCTCCACCGCTCCACGCCGCTACCTCCGTCGCCCCCCACTCCGCTTTTGTTGGGTATATTCTACGATTTTCTCTTTTAATTTGAGTTTTTCCCCATTCTTGTATATTTGATTTTCGTTGGGTATATTTTTATTTAATTCGAGATTTTTCAACATTTCTTGTTATCTATGTTCATGATCTTAAGTTCTGATATGGGTATTGCGTGATATACATTGTAGTACTTCTGTGGTATATGTATTATGAACTTAGGATTAACAAAATCTTCAAACCATTGTTGAATTTGATGATGTTGAAATCCTTCTATATCCACAAATGTAACTTGTTACTAACAGGAGCCTAAAGGCACCAACATTTGTTGACTGCCATTTTTGTTTAAAAAAAAAAAAAAATCAAACTTCATAAAAACCATTGATTTTAAAGTACATTGCCATTCTGGAAACCATCAGAGTACATTGCTATTTTGGAAACCTGAATAGCTAACTGGATTGCATGATATTTTGTGTTTACCTCAAATTACCCTTGACTTAATTTGGTCCAGTAACTTACAATTAGCTTGTTTCTAAAAATGATTTAATTTAAAAAGATTTAAGGGGCAATATTATAGTAAATTGAAACCTAATTGAAGTTTATAAAAAAAACAACTGTGCAACTCCCATGATGACAATTAATGGCTACAAAAAAAACGCCACCTTAGTCTAATTTTTTCCGAGCGGTGACAGATATTCGAGCACTCTAGCAGAATACTATTAGTGTACAAGTTATTCATGATGTTATGTCTGATCTATGGGATCAATTGGCTCTTACAGAATCTGCTAAGTTGAAAGCATTCAGGCCTTAAATTGCTAGGAGAGAAAAGAAACGTTTAGTTTAGTTTAGTACTTGATGGTACGTATTATGATCTGACTTTGAAGGATTAATTACATGGTACAATCCTCCACCGTACTCTACTTCCTATTGTTGACTCGGTTGTCCATGAATTGATTGTTGAGGAGACTTGTCTCAAGTCTCGACTTGATAAAGGGTTTAAATTAAGCATCTACTACCCCTGCTGCTGTTTTTGGAGTTCCAAGTAACATACCCGCAGGTGACAAACCAATCTAGACTAGGTCCTAAAGTTGCTTTTGATGAATGTGTCTTTTATAAAAAGAACCATTAGAAATCTCAATGCCTAGTGTTACTTAACAATGAAAAAAACAGCAACGTTCACCACACCAAAACAGACCATCTAGACATTTTAAGCCACTCTTCTACTCCTGCCTCATTGGCATCTCGTCCACCATAGTTCAATGCCGCTGTTGTACCTTCTATAGAGACTGATCCTCATGCTACCACTACGTCAATGTCCGCCGTGGAGACTCGGTGTTTTGAGAAGTTCAGAGAATTCCTTGCTTCCAATCCTGCTTCTATGTCAACATTTTAGGTCTGTGTGTCTTCATCAGTACCTCACCTCAGGTATTCCTCCATCCTTATGTATGTTGGATTCTGGTGCATCTCATCACAGGTTACCTTATTTGTTATCTTTTTCTTCTTTGTCTCCTGGTTCATCGGTTTCTGTTATGTGATTTATGTTTATTACTCTGTTAGTTCTACATCTATACCTATACCTATAGAGGGTGTTATTTCTATTGCTATCCCTCATATATCTCTCATGTCTATTATATTCTTAACTTGCTTTAAACCTTGCTTCGGTCATTCATTTGTGCAAAAATGGTTATTAATTGGCTGTTCTTTTCAGATTCTCTTTGTTGTGCAGAGGATACATGGTCTTGAAGGGTGATTGGGATTGGTTGTAGGTAAAGAAAAATCTATGTCGATCAGATCAAAGAATTTGATATTTCCGCCATATAATTTAACTTAGAAGTCAAGTAACCAAACCTCCAACCAACCGAAAATTCAGCTCACACACACACCATGAAAAAAACTCAAAAAACAGTTAATACAACCTAATCCTGGAAACTTTGTCTTAACAGAAATGACTCTCATGCATGGAAAAACCATTTAGCATAAGCATTAACTCGCAGAACTTTCCATGCAAGAAAATTGGAACCTATCCCAACTATTTTCTTAGCACAGATGAGTATGTTTGATACTTAAGTTGTCAAACATCCACATCGAATTACATGTGCTATCGTGTGATTAATGACATGTTTGATATTTTTGTGAGTTAGAATGAGCTTTTCTATGAAACAATATGGTTCTCACATCCATGTCTTCAAGAAAAAAAAAAAAAAAAAAAAACTTGAACTCGAAACCTAAATAGTAATAGACCTAGCTTCGTGACGTTGTGCCTTATGTATCTTGGCAACAAGTTACAAGGAGTTTTATAAGATGTCGAAATGCATCGTAGAAATTACATACTTCCTTATCATACTCTATCTTTACAATAGGTAACTTACTTTTCAGGAATCCCAATATCGGCTTTTCTCACAATCTAATTTACTATAAATATTTTTTCATTTATAGTTTGTCATGTGAATGTTGAGGTAAGTTTAATAAACTATAGTATTAAACTATAATCACGACAGAAGTTCAAGATAGCCTATCAACTAATTTTGTTGATATTATAATTAAATACTTGTCTTAATCCAAATAGAAAAGAAACTAAAGTCAAATTTAGAAAAAGAGATGGCAATAAACACATATGAACATAGACATAGACATAGAATGATAGAAAGAGAGTGTAACCTTGATTCTGGAATGGAACACCATCTATGTAGAGAAGGGTTTATGTAGGAAAACGTTTTGGCTGATATCATTTCATTTCTTTCTCCATTATCGCATAGTGTAAGCAACTGTGATTTAAAAAAAAAAAAAAAAAAAAAAACAGAACAAATCAAACCAGGTTTCTATAATTATGTGTAAATGAATGTATGATTTGGGACTATCCCTCACAATAATATGTTTATACATCAGGATACTTGGAAAGAAAAGGTCCACATGGGACCAAAAGATCCACAAATAAAATAATCAATGCGACTAAGTCTTGTAAGAGCGTAGACATAGTTTATGGCAAGCAGTTGTCATCGATCATGACCAACCGTACTTAAGTCCTGGAGTTAGAGGATCTTATGTAATTCAACTATTCAAGATATGCTCATAACCGGTGGTACCAGCCTCGCGGAATCATGTTCCCGGTGGTAACAATGAGTTGCATCCGGCGCCACTGTTCATTACAACCATCAATTGGGATTTAAACACTATATAATGGAGTGGTCTCATGTTCAAATTCAACAACCTTCAACCTTGGGGTGACCAGCCGTTCAATAAAAATTCAAGATATCATGTACAAGTGGAAAATTTTAATGAAATTACATAAACCACGAAAAGATGCATGCAAGAAATGAAGAGAACACAAAATGACCTAATTAAGTATGAGAATTACCGTTTTGCCTTCTTGAAGGAGGATTCCGTTGGAGAGAATGTCGTAGAGAGCCTTTTTCTTTTCAGTTAAGTAGATCTCTCGAGAGTTTGACATCTCGATTATTTCTTTATAGTCATTAGGCAATCTGGGCTCCCATATTTCATAATCCTCCTGCATATTATTTAAACAATAAAAATGGTCACATTTAATCCGTGAACTCATTTTCATTTGGATATATTAACAAGTTTGGGCTAGTTCACTTGGCTAACAATTAAGGTGTCTAACTAGGAGTTTCTAACCAGGAGGTCCTGGGTTCAATCCCTGGCAAATGCTAATCCCGCCGTTCAAAAAACCAAAAAAAACTTAGGTATGTTATTTATTTTTTTACTTTAAAAAATAAAGTAATTAATATCCAATAAAAATGGTTTTCAAAATGTTATCCTTCTTGCTTGGTTATGTCTTAATATCTTTATATTCTCTCTTTATTCTCATGAAAAACAATTATCTGGTACTCGTTGGGATCATAGAAACTTTTTGCTTGGTTATGTCTTGATATCTTTATATTCTCATATCTGACGTACAGTAATTGAATGAAGACAGTTTTCTAAGAACACAGAAACTTACTTGGGATTCTAGTGCTTGCTTAAGTTGTAGTAGCACCTCGCCTGTTGTTGGTCGTGCTTCTCTCTTATCATGTAAGCATTGGTAGGCAATCATTAGAAATATAGTCAATGACTTTGGTGCAATTTGTTCCTTTATACCCTCAAACACCATCTCATCAAGTTTTCCTTCTTTGTACTGGCGTTTAAAGATTTTGGTAAGAATCTGAAGTTTGCCATTGACGTTTTCCATAATTAATCTTCCTGACAAGATCTCTAGTAAAACAACGCCGAACGAATATATATCAGATTCTTTCGTTAAAATACCTGTTTCCATGTATAGTGGACCAATATAGCCAATCGTGCCAACAACTGATTCAGTTAAAATATCCACATCCTCATCTATTTTACTTATAAAGGAAAGCCCAAAGTCTGAAATTTTTGCTTTCCAATCATCGTTTAGTAAGATGTTAGAGGATTTCATGTCTCGATGCAGCACAACCTCTTGTGTCACACCACCTCCATGAAGAAAATCCAACCCACTCGCAAAATCAATGCATATCTCTAGCCTTTTCATCCATGTAAGACCATCGTAATTCAAGTACATATCGAGACTCCCTTTAGACGCATACTCGAAAACAATGATGACTTCACCTTTTTCAAGGCAATAGCCTACAACACTGATAACATTCTCGTGTTTATACTCCAAAAGAGTTTGAAACTCCTTAATAAATTCGTTTTCTCCCTGGCCAAACTTCCTATCCAGCCGCTTTACAGCAATGGTATTATGGCCATTGGCATGTGTAATTTCTCCTTTGAATACACTTCCGAATCCTCCTTTTCCAATCAAGTTATTACGACTGAAATTCTGTGTGGCCAACTTTATGTCCTCAAATGAAAATTTGAGGTGGTCCTTGATGTTTTCCTGTGAATCGTTAAACACTCGATCAACTCAATAATTCAAAAATAAGCTGCAATTCTTACTTAAAGTACAGTTATCCTCTCGATCCACAGCAACTTTATCTCGATTTTTTGGTGGCATATTAAATGTTGATTATTGAAATAAAGCATATATACATGTTAAAATAATGAAATATGTTGAAAATAAAGAAACTAATAAAAATAGAGATACAATAGATAGTTATATTTTAAATGTTTGACAACTTCAAATCAACTACTCCGGTAGTTGATTTTTATTAAGATTTGATATACAGTTTAATTAGAATATTTATCCCAATTCATGAAATATAACTAACTATATATCCATTAATGAACTAAGAATTACACATAATTTGGAATTTTTAGGTGCCTAAAAGTTTGGAAAATGATTAATCGCTAGTTTACTAATTAATATATTTATTCCACAGATTTATTTACGATGTCCCCATATATATAAAAGAAAATATTTTTTATTGAGAAGTTTTCAAAATTTATGTAAAAAATCATTAGTATAATCTTATTATACTTTATGAAAATAAAATCATTTAAACATTATATTAGTGATTTAATATTTTTGGAACATTTGTGAGCTATTAAACATTGTATTATTAATGATGAAAAATCCGTAATTAAACAGGTTATAAGTTGAGAATTTCTAGTAATGTACATGTCACTCATATATTAAATTGATTTTAAACCCGGATAACATACACAACTATAAGTTCTTAATATTTTAACAGTCTAATTACAAAATCCCTATATATACATGCATACATGCATTCCACTGTGTGACCCTCCGTCCGTACATGCATGTATGTATACATAGTCACATATATATATATATATATATATATATATATATATATATATATATATATATAGTGTGTAAGATTTCTCCCTAAATTTTTCATTTTTGTTGGTTATGTATTTTAAACTAACACCACAATTAATCTTACATTACTTTCCGAATAATAATGAACTTAACTAAAAAACGTTATATATTTAAATAATAACTTACTTGAATATATAATGCTTCCTCAAGTTTCCGGACGATGACTTCTGGTGTTAGACGATGGGTTGGAGTTTCTGTCAGACATTGATATGCAATTTTTAAAAATGCATCCATAGAATCTTCATTTGTTCCTCTGTTTAGAGTTGTAAAATTTCCATGAATTTCTTCCATTAATCTAGGATCTATCATGTCCTTTACCGTTGCCTCATTAAAGCGTCGTCGTGCAATGGGGCCAATCCCTTGACTATTTTCGATTGTGTAAATTGGATCATTGGCAAGCCTCCCAGAAAGGACCTCAAATAATACGACGCCAAATGAGTAAATATTTGTTTCATTTTCCAAATATACGTGTATGCCTGCAATCTCTTTTGTATAAAGAGCATTCAATTGTTGATCCTCAGGGTGGATTTTGGAGAGCCCAAAACCAGCTATCTTCGCCTCCCAATTCTCACCTAACAGAATGTTACCGCTTTTTATATAAAAGAGTATCATCCTCAGTTCAACATCTACCTTCTGGTGAAGGTAATTCAATCCGCGTGCTACATCGATGCAGATCTTTATACGTTGCACCCAAGTAAGATTAGTCAAGTTACAGGTGCTTCCCAAATAATCATCAAGGCTTCCATTAGAAGCATGCTCATAGACAAGTATCATATGACCATCTTCCTCACAGAAGCCAAGAAGAGAGACTATATTGGGATGCTTACAATTACTAAGCATTTCAATTTCTGCATGGAACCTTTTTTCTCCTTCTTTATTCAAAATGCGTTTTATAGCTACAATGCTGCGTTTTTTGGGAAGTTCGCCTTCATTCTTCTTTTCAAACGACAAGAACTTTTTGCTATCAAAATGGTCAAGTTCTGCTTTGTACAGCTCTCCATTGGCGCCTGACCTAATAAGGTGTGTTTTAGCAAAATTGTTGGTATTCGATAGTATATCAGTGAGTGGGATCTCCATGTGTTTTAAATTTCCCTCCTGCAAAATTGTCGTTCAGTTAGTATATATGCTAGTAAGGATAAGAATGAAGTTACAAAAATTGTTTCGTAGTCTTTTGACACGCCTATAAATAGCAATAGGCGACTATCATTCTGTCGGATATTTTTTTATAACTTTTTATCTAGACAAAATCCAATGGTAAGGGCATCCACACGTTTTTTTTTTACTTTGTCTTTCACACATTATATTACTCTGTTCTTACGGGCTTTTTAGTCCGTTTTTTACAATTTTATTTTTACACATTCACTTTGCTTTTTTTTTTTACAACTTCCTTGTAGCATTTATTTTAAGATTACATGATAAATTGATATGAATATACTAAATGTAAAAAAATGCAACTTAAGTGTAAATAAATTTAGTTATACAACATAATTGCACCATGTAAAAACAAAGTTGTAAAAATGATATAAAAACAAAGTTGTAAAAAAACAAAATAAAATAATGAAGCAAAAAAATAAATAAATAAATAAATAAAAACATGTGAAAAAGAAGTTGTAAAAACATATGTTAAAACAAACTTGTAAAAACCATGCAAAAATGTGTAAAATTATGTACAAAATGAAGTTGTAAAAACATGTTTCATTATGATTTTTTTTATTCTAGATGTATAGTTTGACAAAACAATAAAGGGAAAATGACTTACAAGTCCAACCAAGTTTCCAAACAATTCAAAAAAACCCAAATCATGTTTTGTCTGTTTGAGAAAGCCCAACAAACTTAACATTTTGTCTAAAAAAAACAAACGAAGTTCCAAACCATTTAAAAAACCTCAATCGTGTTTTATTTAAGTTCGTTGGGTTTTTTTTTAAACAGACAAAACATGATTGAAGTTTTTTGAACGGTTTGGAAACTTCGTTGGTCTAACAAGTTATTTTCCCGATATCATTTAAGCCACATCATCTGTTTCTTTTCTTTGACTTCCATATAATTGTAACTTAGTTAGGCTTTTTTAGACAAAAGAAGAAGTTCGTTGGGTTTGTTTTTAACAAACAAAATATGATTGGGATTTTTTGAACGATTTGAAAACTTCGTTGGGCGCGTAAGTCATTTTCCCAAACAATAAACTCATTATTTATGGTTGAGTCATAAAGATATGTATAAAATTAAAGTTTGTCAGTTATGTGTTTCAAACTAGCATCTTAAACCTTATTCCTAAATTTCTTTTAAACAGATAATGAAGGAGAATTAACCCTACTTAAATGTTTTAGGACTTACTTGAAAAGATAGTGCTTCTTCAAGTTTCTTGATGACGACTTCTGCGGTTGGACGCTCGGATTACGTTTCTGCCACACACTGATATGCAATTTCAAAAAATGCATGCACGGCATATTGATTTGGTCCTTTAGTTAAAGTGACAATGTTTCTATCATGAGTTTCTTCTTTCCATAACCTAGGATCTACCATTTCCTTTATTGTTCTATCATTGAAGCGCCTTCGAGCAACATGTGCAATCCCATTGCTATTTTCGTTGACGTAAATAGGATCATTAGCAAGCTTCCCGGACATCACTTCAAATAAAACAACTCCGAAAGAATAAATATCTGTTTTGGTATTCAACATACCAGTCTTCTCATAGTTTGGATCCATATAGAAATCGGTGCCTGCAAGAGTTTCTGTAAAGAAAGTGTTCACTTGTTGATTCTCTGGGCGAAATCTGGAGAGCCCAAAATCTGCAATCTTCGCCTCCCAATTCTCACTTAACAAAATGTTATCACTTTTTATGTCACGGTGTATTATCCTTCGATCATCCTCTATCTTGGTGTGAAGGTAATGCAATCCGCGTGCAATATCAATACAGATCTTTATACGTTGCAGCCATGCCAGATTATTCAAGCTACTACTGCTGCTTCCAAGATAACTATTAAGGCTTCCCTTAGAAGCATACTCATAGACAAGTATCATATGACTACCTTCCTCGCAAAATCCAAGAAGAGAGATGATGTTGGGATGCTTACACCTTGTAAGCATTTCGATTTCTGCATGGAACCCTTTCTCTCCTTGTTGGTCTTGTCTAATCTTTATGCGTTTTATTGCAACAGTGCTGCGTTTCTTAGGACATTGGCCTATATTAATTTTCTCTTCTAATGGCAAGAAATTTTCACTATCGAAATGGTCAAGTTCAGCTTTGTACACCTCGCCATATCCGCCCGACCCAATCACGTATGTTTTAGCAAAATTCTTGGTGGCATTTTCTATATCAGTGAGTGGGATCTCTAAGTGTTTTATGTCTTTCCCCTGCAACATTGTGATGAGAATGAAGTAAACAAAAAACATTTTCAGTTTTTCCAAATAAATAGAAAAATAAAAATAAATATCAATGCTTTTGTTGTCGGTCGTGTTAAACAATATTGCATTATATATTGTTATAGAATTGGTAGCATTACTTTAATGTGTTGGGATACTAAAATTGATTGAATTTCCTATGAAATTCAGTACTTGGAGTTGCGGGATTGAGGTTTTACATAATTGTTTATGATTTAACCGTTTATAATGTGAGTGATTGGTTGAGATATATATTAATGTCATAATCAATACATTTTAAGCCCCGTTTGGCATATATAAGCTAGCTTGTTGTAACTTACTTTGGTAAAACCACAAAAGTCGCTTATGTTAGCTTATGAACTAGCTTATAAGCTAGCTTTTGATAAGCTACTTTGAAATATCTTTTAATAAGCTTATGGAGCTTTTCCAAAAATATTAAATATATACCCTTATATATATCTTTTTTTTTCTTTTAGTTATATATCCAAATGTCCATTTATGTCATTTTACATTGCAATCTAGCTTATAAGCTACTTTTTACCTAACACTAATAATTTATAAACTAGTTTATCAACTACCAACTAGCTTTTCAGCTAGTCTGCCAAACAGGGCCTTTGTATATGTTACAAGCTTTTTTTTTATTATAAGGGAACGTTATAATACTATAAAGAAGATCAATTTTATAGATCATTTTATTCCCAGAAAATAAAATTGATGATAAATCAATTTAGATACATGGAGCACCCACACATGTTATGAGATTTTTTAAATCCAAGGGACTTTGAAGTAAATGAAAAAAATAAAATAGTAATTTTAGTTAGATCATAAATGTATTACTTGTATTCTCTGTTAAACTTTGTTTGATTTATTTAACAGATTACCTCAAACCAAAAGAAATGAGTTACCTTTAAGTTCTTGGAAGTTGTGCCTTCAAAGGAAGCCTTTAATATCAACTACAATAATGCCAAATAGTTTAATTAATAAACACGAGTTATTATACATAAAGAAGTGAATTGAAAGTGGAAACAAATGGCTGGATGGTCTTACACGATTTACATGTTTCCATTGATATTCCAACGCTTTCTCAAGATTCATGACAACCTGATTTATGTTTGGTCGTTGTGAGCGCTCTTCTTTCAAGCAATAGTACGCTACTTCTGAGAAAATTTGAAATGAGCGTGGGTCCATTTGTTTATGTAGACCCGGATCGATCATAACATCTAGTCCCCCCCCTTCATAGTGGGATTTGGCAATTGGAGCTAATAGCCTATTATCCTCCTCATCTACGGCTTTCTTTCCGCATAGTACTTCAAATAAAACTATGCCAAAGGAATACATATCCGACTTGTGGGTCACACTTCCACTCTTATCGTATACTGGGTCACGATACCCCAGCGTACCACAAACATCCGTAAAACAAAGATCATTCCTTCCACGTGATGCCTGTTTCATTGAAAGTTCAAAACCAGATAACTTGGCTTCCCAGTTGGCATCTAATAAAATCTTGGAACTCCGGATATCACAATGTATGACGCTAAAATCGCGTCCTTTATCATAATAAATGTAACCCAATCCATGCGCAACACCAACACATATCTGCAATCTGCGCATCCATGTGAGGTTCGGATCTCTAAGAAATGTGTCGAGACTTCCAATGGTCTCATGCTTGTAGATGATGATCTTTCCAAATTCATCATTGAAACCAACTATGGAGACGACATTATTATGCTTGAGTTTAGAAAGCATCGAAATCTCCTTCAAAAACTCAACGTCTCCATCCCTGTGTACATAATCAAACCTCTGTGCCACTATATCAATCAGTTGCCCCGACCGCAAGAGTTGTCCTTTGTAAGCCTTTCCCAGATCACTTCCTTTAATGAGATTTGCATCAGAAAAGTTGTTGGTGGCAGATACAATCTCTTCAAGTGGGATCTGTAAGTGAGTAAACTGTTTGTCAGATGATGAAATGATGTGCTTATAAAGTAAAAAAAGAGATAAATCAAAGAGGGGGTTATTTACATAAAGATTAATAAATCATATCTTAATGATTGATTTTTTTTACTAAATCGTAGCTTAAATAGAATCATTACTTGATTAAAGAATTTGGTCACAGAGAATCATTGTTGTTACACATAACTCAGTACCAATGTACGAAAATGATTTTCTAACACCATCAAACAGTCACTGCACTGTTTCTATGGTAAACGTCCGTTAAGGTTTACTTATACGAGAAGGAGCAAAAGGACTTAACAACATTACTGACTGTGTTGACCTGTAGTAATCTGTTTAGTAGTGAGTCAATAAATCTGTCAATAAAGGGGAGTTCTGTCGTTTACCAGAAGAGTCATCTACATGCAAGTATAAATAGAAGGTCAAGGTTGTTAGGATGGTTATCTTTGTTTGTAATTCAAGTGAGATCACTGCGGAGAGTTTTGGCCTCTCGAATGCAAAAGGATTAGGTCTTTATATGTAGAAAAATAATTGAGTCATTTTTTTTAAAGCTAGTTTATAACCAAATGAGTTTTGTTGAAACAAAAAAGCCAACAAACCACCACCATATGATGACAATTTTACAATTGATCCCTGCCGTTTACTAAAAGTCTCATGGTGAGGACAACTATGAAAATTTTTACATGCTTGGTCCATGTGGTTTCTAAATGTTGCCTGCTTGGTCCTTTTGCTTGACTCCATTAAAAAAGAGGAGTTAAGTTGTGAAATGACTAATTTACCCCTCCTTTATTCATTTAATTGCATCTTCTTTTGTGATTAATTGCTTTCAAAGAAACAGAACAACCAAAGTCAATGATGAAGAGAGTGGGGTCATCGTTGAAGTTTGAACGGTGGATGGAGAGGAATGGATAGTAGGGTGGGGGTAGGACGGGGTATTGGGGATGAGTGCGTCTTAATAGTTTAATAAATTCTAAAAAATACAATTAAATGAAAAAATAACAAAATAATTAAGAAGGGGTAAATTAGTCATTTCACAACTACTTAAACCCTCTTTTTTAAGAAGTCAGGCAAAAAGACCAAGTGGAAATGTTTAGAAACCACAAGGACCAAGCGCGTAACGGTTTTCATAGTTATCTTCACCACACGACTTTTCGCAAACATTTTGCCATGAATGAATGTGTGTGTGTGTGTGTGTGTGTGTGTGTGTGTGTGTGTGTGTGTGTATATATATATATATATATATATATATATATATATATATA